ATATGAGTAATTGCGTGTGTGCTATCCGCTTCTTTCTGCCATTGCTTTCTTCTGACTCTCTTTTCCTGCACAGCTGCTCTGCAAGTGTAGGCTTTGACACACACACCACAAACACACGCCATTTTGCACACGCTGTGGAGCGGCGTGAGTGCTGAGAACGCACGTACAAGATCCCGGCTGTGGCGGCCCTCGCGAGAAGAGCTTGAGTCCGCGATTTGTCCCGGCGACGTGTTGCGGTTGTTCTGTTGGCGGTGTGCAGCAATTGAGTGGTGTGGCATTTCGGGTGCCTGGGACAATTGCTTATTAACTCTCTTCCAACAGCCGTACCTGCCGATGTGTTACTGCCGTTGTGGATTCGTCGACGGGGGATTCTCCGGCTGTGTGGGGTGATGTGCGGGTGCGCTGGAAGAGAAAACAGCAGTACGACTGGCGGCAGCGCATGTGTCCTGCGAAGGGTGGTTGTGCTTTTTTGCATCCCACTGTTTGTGTTTTTTGCGTGGGCGTCGTTCGGTGTCCGCTGATGCGTGAAGAGGAATAACGAAGCACCCGCCGTGACTCCTGCTGCTGGTGGCGGTGGCAGTCGCTGTGTGTTCCCGGTGCACTGTTCTTTCATCTCCTGTTCCGTGTGTCTGTGTGCGTGAGTTGTTGTTGTTGGGAGTGACTGCGGCGCGGATGATGGTGCCACTCACTGTGGATGGGTGAGGATGCTCACTGTTTCATCCTCTTTTCTTGGCATGTTTCTCTATATTTCTCTTAATCACACACGAAGAAGGAAAACAAGCGCTAAACGCTATTGTGAAATTCGAAGGCACTGAAAGGACCAACAGCACACACACAGTCTACACACACGTATTTATATGCTCTCACGTGTTGCTGCAGTGAAGGCACCCCGCACACACAACCGTCGCCGCGTGACCGGATCCAGTGGCAGGAGGAGGGAAGGGAGAGAGAGTGAGCCGCAGAGGCCCAACATGTCCCGGCAACACTTCTATTCTGCGGTGCTGATCCTCCTCGTCGTGATGATGTGCTGCAACACTGGTGGGGCTGCATCCAGTGGGGTGACGCCGTCAGGGCAGGGATCTTCAAAGGGCAAATTGTTTTTTTGGAGAGATGTGGAAAAAACAGGAAACGAAACAGTGGATGCGCTCCGTGTTCCCAGTATTGTGGAGGTGGATGGCGATGTGTTTGCAGTTGCCGGGGCGAAGGG